CGGCAGATTCGGAGTCGATGCTCGCCACACAGACAACGGAGATTAAATCCTTAAGTCGTGTGCCAAGCATGAACTGTTTCTGGCGAGTACGATTATTCAGCATAAACGTCCGCATTGCGTAACCTGGCGATCACCAAATGCAATCATCATTGTCAGCTGTAATAACCGCGTACTCGTCGTACAGTGGCTGTAGCTGCCGCAGTTTCGTGTGGGGAGAGGGTAGGTAGCTGCGCATTGCAGGCGGGAGATTATAAATTGGTGCATAAATCCGGCACTGTCGATGGGCTGTCAAGTGGGGGGTTGGGAAGGGAGCTATGTATTGAAGGCAATAGCTTGGATGTACGAGTGCCACATGCAAAACAAGCCGTGGACCCAGTTGGACCACGTGGATATGAGCCACCGGTGGATAGCCACAATTCAAGATCGCCGTTCCGGTTGGAGCACACCACTTGATTCCGATCACGCCTTGGTGAGTGCATGCCTGACAGTTCGTTTGCCTCCAGACCCTCGGAAGTTAGCAAGAAGCATGCCGATCCAGCATCTTCGAAAACTACCATAGCTCACCAGTATTCATCTGAGCTAGCCCAACAACTCTCCACAGTAAACCAAAACTGTGGTGGCAGTGAGCATGTGGATGAAGCGTGGCAAAATGTGAAATCATGCTAGCTAGCGGTGTTCACTACTGTGTGACCGACTTCTCTAGTTTATCTACAGGACCACTAGATGTCATCGAGGTCGTTTTCCATGACTGATGCCAGGAAATCCATACCATCTGGCAACGAGTACGACGGCGCGCTACTCCCTCAAACGCCAAATATTGAAGAGTCTAAGGAAAGCTCGAGGGCTATGGTGGACATCGAAAGCTCGGGAAATGGAGAAGGCTTTTGCTACCGGAAAGAGTCGTGCCCTATATCAACTGATAGGATCGACTGGCCCTAGGAAAGCAGCGGTCAGTGAAACGATAAGTTAAAAAATGGCTTGTCAGTTCACTCGCAAAAATGTGGACTGGAAAGATGGGCCGAACACTTCGAAGAACAGTTCAGCCGGCCTCCTGCAATACAGCCTGTAGAGATAGTGCATTCAGGCGAGTGGAATGTAAACATTGGTCGCCTGTAGGAAAAAAGAGAAAGCACCAAATATCCTTCCTAAAACATTAGAAGGCACCGGGACTGAACTTTTTGTATCCAGCCCTCTTCAAAGAAGGTGGAGAATCCCTGACGATCCATCTGACAAAGCTTATTGGTACTATATGGAACGAAGAGAAGGTGCTTACAGAATGGGGCATGTGGACAGTTATTGCTATCTTCAAAAAAGGGTACGCGAACGCTGTGTGAAAACCACTGTGGCATCAGTCTAATAGCTCTGGCATCGAAGGCTCTCTCTGGTCTTATCCTTTGAAAGGTGGCTGAACACGGATCGACAGATCCGTGAAAACTAAGCTGGGTCCCTTCCTACAAAAGGATGCATCGATCACATCTTCACCCTTCAGCAGACTCTGGAACACTGTTTCCAGCAACCAACAGTGGTTTTATTTCTTGATCTGAAGGCTCTGTTTGACTCTGAACCATCAGGCACCATGACGGTGTTTGTGGAGCAATGGTGCCCCCCCATAAATTCTTGACCTTCCTTCAGGCGCTGTACGCCAACTATCGCGATCATGTTAAGGTCTATGGGAAGCTCTCGCATGAGTTCACTACATCAAGTGGTGTCAGACACGGCTGTCCTCATTCATCTTTTTTGTTCAACCTCGTCATTGATACGATCATGGAAGACTCATTACCAACCTCTAATGCCTGTGGGGTCGAAATGCTCCTTGGGCGTCTGCTCACAGGTATAGAGTACGCAGACAACATAGCTCTTCTTGGATCTGACCCCGTGGTAATTTAAACAATATTAAATGATCGAAATAATCCCGCTCCACTGTTTGACATACGTTTCACACCTGCCAAGTGTGAAGTGCTACTGCAAGACTGGGTGAGTTCGAACCCTAGCCTCACGCTCGCGGATGAACCAATTGAGGTAGTAGACAAGGTTGTTTTCCTGGAAATCTGTATCGGTCCTGGTGGTCTAGCGGAAGACGCCATTTCCCTTCGGATTGGGAAGGCCAGAACAGCTTTCGTGAACGAGCGTCATCTTTGGCATAGGCGTGACATCAGCTCATCTGTCAAGGGTCGCGCTCCATACTACTATACGGATCTATACTATACTATATACTACTATACTGGCCATTGCATGCTGAGGACTTTGAATGTTTGACCATCGATGTCCTCGGAGCATTGCCCGAATTTGGTGGGAACACTGGATAAGCAATGCTGAAGTGCATCGAATGGTATCCGGAAAGAGTAACGCGCGATAGATGGACTGACCACACTCTACAGATTGCGCTGGCTTGGCCACTTGTTCCGTATGCCAATCGCTATTGAAGTCGAGTACAAGCTGCCGCTGAGCTTGGCCTCAGCGATTAAACCAGTCGGCCCTAGAGCTGGGGCATGCGGTTAGACTTTTCAGTCTACGGTAGGATAGGGTTGAAGACGTAATATGGGAAAGTATAAGAAACGAGGCATCCACAGTTGCATGTTGTTGCTTACCCGCTCTGCTGTTAGCAGCAAGTAAGGCGACCTGGCTGGTGACACCACGCGACGGCCGATTTGGCGTTAGTATTAGTTGTGCGGTGATGCTTTTCTTCATTTGACTCAGCTCGACTGAAAGACTCCCACCACTTCGTTTTGTCTAACGGAATGTCGGAGTGTGGTTAATTGTTTGGCCGGATATCATGTGATTTGTGAAATAAGCTTCAACGGGTCATTCCAGTAGTTTTACTGTGTAACAAAGACTTAATGCTTGTGGCCATTACCAGCCACTGGTTTACGGACAAAACGCTTCCGTGTAGCATAGATCAGCCGCTGTAGCTGAGCAGGTCTCTTGTTTTCATAGCAGAATTGAAAGGCAAATAGTTTTGACACCGAAAAGTTACTGTGATAGCAGGGTTTTCCATTCTTGGAGGCTTCAGCAACGGGATGACCTTTCTCAAACAAGTTTTTATGTATACAAGTTTTTTATATACTTGTTTGCGGCTTTAGTACGTGGGATTTTTCTGCCGTATTTGCTCTTTTTCACCCTATGGATGCATAGTGTCCGTTACATACCGGAATTCAGATCATGCGATCGACGAATCGGTCATCTGGTCACGTGATATCACATTCCATGTGTTCGCTTACTGGTCACGTGATATCACATTCCATGTGTTTGCTCGGTCATCTTCCCTTGTCTACACTTGGGCAACCGTGCTTCCTTCGGTTTACGTGGTACCTAGGCATCAAAAGCGTGTTACAGCTGAGCAGTTATTACTTCTTATTAGCTCTTGAGACTGTGATCCTGTCATATTATGGTAATTCAAACTGGCTGAATAATCACCCATTTTAATCCCGCCGGACCATTGGAAAACACCTTTTCCGTTATGTTCCTACTCTGAATTTCCATTCGATCCTAGAAATACAAACCAGCTTTTCCATTCAGCAGTAACGAGAGCATCGTTTTTCGTTTCATGCAACAACACTCAGGCTGGATTTAAAATTACATTCTCTGTCTGTCAAGTTACCGAACCCAGATCAGTGGAGAGTCTGGGAATTCATGAACTAAACACTCCTGCCTCAGGCCATGCACTGCCTTTGGACATTCAGTCCGAGAGGGATACGTTAGTTGGCTACAGTGGCTTCATCTGGTGTGGTTGACTGTGACCGAAAGAAACCACTCAGCTCCGAACCATGCTAATACGAAGTGTTACGCACGTGTTACTTTGTTTCGTTAATGAAAACGCAATAAATTTTGTATGATTTTGTACGCGCTGTGCAAAAAGACCAACTGGCCACCGGTGCTAGCGGACAGATCAGGCCATCATCTTCGGAGGAACCGTTGTCACCATTCCCACTCCACCTAAGACACTGGTTTAGGCTTCTTCAGGCCTCGATAGGTTTCACGTTTAAGCACGGCAAATGAAGAAAATTTGCCGATCTCCTTCTTGAATTGACATACTCTTCTAGCTAGGAAACTCCACATCGGTACTCGTCTCCGGGCTTGCCAAGTTGTTTTCACAGAACATGGACACCATTCAGCCACATGCCGCTTTTGGAGGTTTTTCATAGCCGTTTGTCACCTATGCTGTCGTTTTATTGGAGATGCTGTCTCAGTCCTTTGAGTATTTTCTTTAAACGCGGCGTCTGTATGTTTGCCTCGTTTCTCTGTGCCCCTTTCGCCTTCAGTTCTTTTTGATGGCAATTCTGACTATCTTTTAAGTGTCTCTTAGTATACAGTGACTCATTGTTCATTATGGACCAAGTGGTTAGAGCGCGAATTTACTGACCGGAAGGTTCGTGGTTCGAACCTGACCTCTGCCACTCGACTTCCCCTGTCTAGGCTTGGGCAACCTGGTAGTATCCCAGCCCTCGTGCCTCCATCGTGTGGCATGGCAGCTAGGCACCGAAAGGGGGCTACAGCTGAACGATTATTTATTATTATTATGACGACGATTGCCTCTTGGTATTTGATGAACGTTTTCTCCCAATATCCATAAGCTCATGAGGTCTTCTTCCTATCCGTTCAGATCTTACCATCGAGCACAAGTGAAGATTCATACGTAGCTCATACACTGCTTGTTCTACAGTCCAGTAACTCTCAACCAGAAACTGATAGTCAATCTCTATGTTGGTGCCCTTGGAAGTCTGGAAGCTCCATGAAGCTATCTACTTTAGATCAAGGAGTTTTGAAACTTGGTCTCCCAACCCATCCGTCCATGTTGCTGTCCATTTCATGCGGAGGAAAGGTGGGTCTGCCAGATGCTGTTCTGCACGCATTTTTCTCCAGTTTCACTGTTGTGTGTTACTGTATAATTTTCGATTGAATGCTTAATCGTTATTCTGTCCCGCCATCTTTTAACATGTAGGTGGAGGTTATGAACGTAGCAGCCGTGTCCAGCTTGCTCAACTCCCGGTTTTCATCTCATTCCACGACGGAATTTCCGGAGCCTGCCAACAGTTGGAATCGTGATCAGTTATCTCAGGCTATTGCGGATAATTCCGCGGCAGATTTTATCTATGCCAAAACAGGAGACCATGGAAATACAGTTACCGCCTTATCATTGAGCCGTGATGGATCATGCGCAGCCTCCGCTTGTCTTGATGGTCAGGTGCGAATTTTCACCTTACTGCGGGATAAAGGATACGGGGAAGATGGTAATTTGAGGTAATTTTGGTGCTTTCTACTGTTTTATTCAATAACATTGTTGAAAAGTCGTACTACCTTACGACGTATGTGGAAGGATTTGGACGATGTGTTTTGGTTAACCCTGGTTTGGAAAGGTGGTAGTCAGAATTGCCGATTGCTTGGTCACATGTATGTGCGTGACTTGTTTGTTTTCGATTTCTTTTGGCACTGTTTATGCGGGACGTGCTTGCGACTACATGTTGTCACGTGCTCTGATAGTTGGCCAGCCTTTGTGACGCTGTCATCTGTCCTACGCCATTTTCAGCTCGGTGAGCGAGTCGCTGCTGAACTCGCTGTGCCGTTGCATTCACCATACGTTGCTTGGCTAGCTGGATTCTTGCTGACGGGTTTAACATCGATGAACATGGTTCGGCGCCCTTTTAACGCACTACCCTGTAAACCCCATGCTTCTGTGATCTTTCCTACCGTTAGTTTGTAGCAATTATGGATCGAATACATTTTGCCAAAGGCAGTCTCGAACATAAGTTGTGTACTGTCCCCCATAAAACTAAAACCGCTTCGTCATATCGGCTTGACCATCTTCAAATGATCGACTTACCTATCCTGATTAGTGGTCGACCTTCATTGAGGCTCTGCTAGCTAGCACTTGAATCCCGGAAAAGAGTATAACAACTACTCCAGTCTTCTAACGTTGACCATGGCTCTTGAGCTCAGCAATCCGTGCAGACAAACTAAGCAGACTGTGAAGGCACTTGATTCGTGTCAAACTCTTCCAACAACTGAATAAAATTCGGAATCGAAATGAGGGTTTCGACCGTGCCATATCAGACTTTGAAAAAACATCGTAAGCATATTATTTGGTAGCACCATTATTCTTCTAGATATGTTATCAAAACCAACCCCTCGGCTTCTATTGAGGAAAAACGTTAAGGACAAAAATGTCCCTGACTCGGCCATATTCCGTACAAAAATTCTGAATTCATTAGACGTACTACAGTAGAAGAGTAAAACGGACATTTTTTCAGCTAAACGCCCTGAAATTAGTTTGAAACACCAAGTACAAACCTAATCACGCTAGGTGATTCGAGAGAGTCTCACCGATTGCTTCAGACTGGGGAGATCGGGAACGGAAGCTACGCATTAGAGGCGATAGCATAGATGCATATGAGCCATTCAGTGCGTGGTTGCACCATGTCTGTCAAAGTCTTTAGCTATTGGTGTGTTCTGCCTAGGGGATTCCAATCCAGGGAGACAGCAATATCCAGGGTGGCTGAGTTTGCTGTCAGTGGCTACCATACTTCCCTACCAACTTAACGCGTGACTTCTTTTCGCTCGTTTCTCCCATCCGCGACCGATGAAGTCGGTATTACTGATTAAATATTGCCACCGGACTCGGACAACGCTCCGAAAACACTGATGATCAAATTGAAAGCTTTTGAACGTCCTTACCTCACAGCACCCAGGTTTCTGTCCCACACAACAGTCTGGAGCTCACCGCGGCGTTGCAAACTGAGGTGCCTGTGCTGCAGTGATGAAGATTGACAAAAGCTTATATTGACTTCCCGATCCGGTCCTTAGCTAGACCTCAGGCATTGATATAGCTGTCCAGCTGGACAACTTTGTCTAGTCTAAAAATCCACAGCAACACTACACTTTGTAGGTTTAGAGCGTATGCCAAACCGTGAGAAAGAATTATTTAGGTTATTCAATATGGTCCGCATTATGGTGGCCTCAGATCTAAGAAGGGCTATGTAGTCTGCCTTACTCGATATATGTAAGCGAGCGCTCCGAGAGCGTCTCGACCAAACATGCAACAGAGGTAGGGAGTGGCTAATTTACATGCAGCACTTTTAGGAGGGCCAAAAATTAGAGACATCTTTGCCCCATAAACATTGCCATA